ATGATATCTAGTCCAATAGTATGACGACGACAGACTGTATAAGACCCAGTGATCGACTGCACTATGGTCCAGTCCAGTAAATGTACTATACAGTACTTCAAGACCGCCTACCATTCAGCTGGGTGATTGAATCTCAACTGGAATCGAAATAAGGTTTGCGGTGGCAAGATGTTCCTGGTTGATATCGGCAAATCACAAACCCCATGTTAGATGGGTCTAGTGCTTATCGGCTCACCGCCCGGCATCGCACGTGAGGATCCTCGGCCCGGTAGTGATTTTCGCGCCTTTCAGGGACAAATCCCCAACATTTCTTTTCTCTCTCCGAGGCCCTTTTTCTTACCTGCTTGTCAAGCATCTCCGTGGTTCAAGATGTCCACCTCCCTTCCTGGCAACCGGGACCTCCCATCATCCCAGTATGATCTATCCACATACTGGGGTCGCGTGCGCCATGCGGCTGATCTTTCCGATCCGCGGTGAGTGAGGGTTGTCCCCGACAAGCGGTCTATAACTGATGAGCGTAGGATGATGTTCGTCTCTTCTGCTGGACTAGACAAGGCCAAACAGTTGATTTCTGCCTACAAGCAGAACCATGTTCCTGCCATGACGTCCGAATTATGGCACGCTAAGAAGGTGGTTGACTCGACATTGCACCCCGGTAGCTACACCTCTTCGCCATTCCCATTCCTTTTCCTTCGCAGCAATTCAACTGACCGATCTAGACACCGGCGAGCCGGTCTTTCTCCCATTCCGCATGTCCAGCTATGTCCTGTCCAACTTGGTCGTCACTGCGGGTATGCTTACGCCCGGTCTTCAGGTGCGTTCACCCTGTGTCTCCCCTAATACTAGCTCACCCCCGCCTTCTGACTCATCGGGATCCGATTATCTAGACCACCGGAACCCTTCTCTGGCAGATCGCCAACCAGTCCCTTAATGTTGCCATCAACAACGCCAACGCCAACAAGTCGACTCCGCTTTCTTATTCCCAGATGGCCAAATCCTACCTCATGGCCGTTTCCGCATCCTGCTCCGTCGCTCTCGGTCTCAACGCCCTCGTTCCCCGTCTCAAGGGAGTCTCCCCTAACACCAAGCTCCTTCTTGGTCGTCTGGTCCCATTCGCAGCTGTCTCCAGTGCCAGTGCGCTGAACGTCTTCCTCATGAGAGGCGAGGAAATTCGCCAGGGTATCGACGTGTACCCTGTCTTGTCTGAGGCCGAAAAGAAGAAGCGCGAGGAAACCGGCGAGCCTGTGCAGAGCTTGGGTAAGAGTAAGAAGGCCGCAACGATTGCGGTCGGAGAGACGGCTATCAGTCGGGTGCTGAACGCCACTCCGATCATGGTTGTGCCGCCATTGGTGCTGGTTAAGTTGGAGAAGACCGCGTGGCTGCAGGCGAGGCCAAAGATGGTGCTGCCGATCAATCTGGCATTGATCCTGGGTACCTCTTTGTTCGCATTGCCACTAGCGCTAGGTGCATTCCCTCAGCGACAGTCGATCAGTGCCAAGAACCTGGAAGAGGAGTTTTGGGGTCAGGGAGGCCAGGATGGGATGGTGGAGTTCAACCGCGGAATGTAAATCTGATCCGCGAGGGTGAAAATTGCATATAGATTAGATTTAGAGATATACTGTACTGTACACAGTGTTATGAGCATGATACCATTGCATACCTGCCTCTGAATTCAACCATCCATCAATTAAACCTGGAGACGAGACTGACACTTTAATATTACATGTAAAAAGTCATGGAAGACCGAAAGGACGGATTGTGGAGGAACAAACAAACAGTGCAAACTGACTCTTTCCGCCGCCTGGTAGTGTCTCCGAGATCGTCACATGCGAGAAGCCACTGACTGACTGCACTGCAACTCCGCTTTTTCCCCCCTTTCCTTTCTGCCCCCTGAGTTTCTTCCGCGTCCCGCGCATGATTGATTCTATTCCCAACGCTTGTTTACTCGTTCCCTGTCAATCTAGCTTCCTCTAGACTTCTCAATTGATCGTCGCAGTTTTGCACCATTCTTTTACAAGTCTCTTCCCCTGGTGGTCAGGGCTTCAGGGGATATGCCCCCTCTCCGCGGACTTCATTGAAGCTAAGCAGCGGTCGGTCGCCGCCGTGCTTCTCTCATCTGCCGGTTGTCTACCCTCGGCGACCACGACGACTTCACGCTCAACCTCGCACCACCTCACTGTTGTGCCTGCGTAATCCTCGATCATTCGACTTTGAAAATGAGCATCTCCTTACCCTACCGATCCGCCGACGATGCAGGCAATGGCCTCCCCCGACTTTCACCCGCCCCTTCCCTACTACACCATCGCACGCCCAGCAGTTCTCGCACATCTCTCCGCCAACCGTCGTTAGCCAATGTTCCAGCCACCGCCGCGTTATTCCCTAAGCCTCGCCGATGCAAATCACAATACCCCCGGGACTCCTCAGAGCGGCATGTCGAGTACATACTCGTGGCCTCCTTCCATATCGATCGCGGTCCGATCATGGAGCATCAGTATCCGACCGCGATCAGTGGAGATGAGAGCATGTTAGCGGAACTCATGCTGCCTGATCAAACACATGTACGAAGCCAGGATTGGACGATATTCTTTCTGCATAAGGACACAAGCGCAGATGCCGATGATGATGCCTCGGTATCTAGCAAAAAGCAGAAAAAGAAGAAGAAGGGGAAGCGCAGGGTTGGAGATGAAGCTCAGTCGGGTGAAGGGGACAGTCGGGACGACGACGAATCATTGGATGGGGAAGATAGCAGTGATGATGAGGAGGAAGGAGGTGAAGGCCCTCCTCTGATGTATGTGCTCAACCTGGTCAACACGAAACAAGACAACACAGTGAAGCGGTATGTGAACGCACTTTTTCGTTCCCTTTCGTGGATAAGGTCCGGATATTGAACAACCACAGCGGCGCAGTCGTGAAGGCTATGGCAATCTGTACGCGGCATTCTTTCCTTCATATCTACAAAGTGGGTCACCTCCCAGTCAAGAATAGGTTACAGTTACGCTGACACCCAACTCACAGCCATTATTGTTGCTAGCCCTGGAGGACTACTTCAAGAATCCATATCCCGAAACCCTCGCCACTTTATACAATGCTGTCAACAGCATGGACTTGTCGTTGATGCCGAGGCTATCACTTCTGGAAAGGCAGATCCTGCAGGCAAGCAATTGCAAAGATATGTTCATCGAGAAATTCGAACAAATGATACACCAACGGTCCTTGGAAGACGGCGCCCCGCCAGATGACGAGGACGATCCGCCGTCGCCGAAACGTCAGGCTCCCCTCCAATATACTCTTCCGCGCGACACCCACGAATTTGAATCTAGGGTTGTTTATAACGAGATCCCTATTCCGGTCAAAGTTCCCACGGTCATTTGGCCGGAGACTGTGGGCGACTTTTCTCTGATCAAGCTTATCCAAACCTTCTCCGCTCCGCATAACACTTCACCTCAAGCCTTCCCCGTCCATCCGCACCTGACTACTAGTGGCCCTTTTACGCATCCTATCATTGTCCTCGTCAATGCAATGCTTACTCAAAAGAGAGTTATATTCTTAGGTCACAATCGACCGTCCGGTGAAGTCGCGGAAGCCGTCCTTGCCGCGTGTGCGATTGCGTCGGGCGGTGTATTGCGGGGTTTCACGCGACACGCCTTCCCTTACACGGATTTAACAAAAATCGATGACCTGTTGAAGGTGCCTGGGTTTATCGCCGGCGTCACAAATCCGACCTTCGCCAACCATCCCGAGTGGTGGGATCTACTTTGCGATCTCCCGACTGGTCGAATGAAGATCAGTAGCTATATCGAGCCTGCACCAGTGACGGAAGGACTACTATACTTCCAGCAACAGGCTTCGTTACATCATTACCCGTCTAGCTCGAATACCGATCCCAGCGGGGATAATGTCTTCATGGAAGAGATCCAGCGAAGCATCACAAACCGTTACGGTGAGAACGCGATCCGGGCCAAATGGAGGGCGTACATCATGAAATTCACCCAAGTGGCCGCCGCTTTCGAGGAAATGGTCTACGGCGCATCGAATCTCTTCATCATTGGACCCAACGAAGAGCTTTCGCCAGAGAGCCCGAGCGGCGTTCAGGCTGACCCGCTGGATCCGACCACTCTTCGCGGCCATGGCTATGTCTGGCCCGATGAGGGCGCCAAGCAAAGGGAGCTGCTCGCCTCAGTCTCGCGAATCGAAGGATGGCGGACCACACGATCCTACTATTCGTTCATCCAGGACATCGCCGCCATGTACTATCCGGCCCGACCTATACTGAAACCCGACCTACACCATCACCACAGCCGGCTCCGCGCCTTGCGACTCTCTGCTGCCGATTCCGGCGCCATCTACATCGCATTCGCGCACGCGGTCAAGGACTACGCGGGCATCTGCCAGCTCTTGACCATCACCCCGGAGAACCAAGCCGGACTCTTCTACCTCAGCATGGGGCTTTTTCACCCCTACCCACCGGTTCGCGAGGCGACAGTCGACCTGCTCGAGCGGATTGCTGCCCACCCTGCGGGGCGACATTTCTGGGCGCAGCTCAACCGGTTCGCGAAATTGGCGTTCTTCCGCATTAAACGCGACCGCGACGCCTCAGCACAGAGCCCCGCGGGGTTAGGCACCGGGTCCTTTGGCCCGCGGAGCTTAGTAGGTGTTGCAATGGGGGACACTGCATGATTTTGTGTGGACCGTTCGCAGCCTCACATGCAACCTCCCAGGTTATGCCGGTGGGCCTTGCCCGTATTCATGTCACGACCATTTTATCTCCATCTTGTATATGTAGCTATGTTCAATTAGCTTATCCTTCTCTCCCTCCCAGTCTTGATACCTGGGCTGAAGCATCCAATCAAAGATCCCAAATTCTTAAAATTCTGCAGTAGGACCATGAAAACCTTTCAAATCAGATTTTTCTCATATGAATCATGTTATTCATTACTCGACCCGAGACCCAAGACCTCAGCCCAACCACCACATCCCCCCCTTCCCATTTCAACCCCGCTTTAATTCTTAAGCATAGCAGGCTTCGACTCCAACACCTCCTCCAACCACTTATACGACACCGGCAAGCTATGCGGATACCCCATGTGCGGGAGCCCGGGGAAGAACCTATTTGCCCCCGGAATAAGCATATTAGCCCAACCCACTCGAGAAACAAGCGTCTCGCGCTCATGCGATAATCCCCAGGTGGTAGGGTGGGGTAGGGGTAAGGGTAGGGCTGGGGGGATACGTACCGCCCTTCCTTAGGAGAGCCGTGATTAAAGAGGACAAGACAGTCTTCGATGGGGGTGACACCGTCGTCGACGCCCTATGTACACCTCCCCGCGGGGCGCGGGGGCAGAGTTAGTCTCACGTTTGCTTGGGCATCTTCCGGGTGTGGAATTTGGAACATGGAACAAGGGGAACTGAGGGCACGCACATTCAACAAAAGAAGTCTGGTGCTGGGCTGGTCGACGATGCCGGTCTCGACGAGCGAGAACTTCTTCTGGGCGTTGGCGCGGAAGTCGGCGACGTCGGTGTAGCCGTATTTCTTGGCCCAGGCGGGGGTTAATCTATTCCAATTCGTTAGTCACTACTGGGAAGTGGGGGGTTCGTTTTGGGGTGTTGATGAGGTAGAGATGTTTGATTTCCGGGGAGAGGGGGGGGGTTACGCATGCAGCCACTCGGAGGGAGGGGGAAATCAACTCACAAGAAAGGATACTCATGATCATCGACGCGGGTCAACCACTCCTGATCCATGAAGTAATGGCAGCCCGGCCCGTGGGCGATGCACCCGCGCAGGCGGTCGCGGTGGGTGTGCGCCGCGCGGATGGCGTAGAAGCCGCCCGCACTGAGGCCCCAGGCGGCGACGCGCGCGGCGTCCAGCTCCGGCCGGCTGGCGATGTAGTCCAGCACGGTGGTCCAGAGGCGGTCCGGGGCGTCCGGGTCGCTGGGGTCGGCGGGCGAGTCGGCGGTGCCGGGGATCTCGGCGATGACAACGGCCCACCCGCGGTTGAGGATCTCGTGGGTGCGCTGGCTGTTGTCGGGCCGGTAGCCGTCCAGCCCGGTCATCAGCAGAATGACGGGGACGGGGCTGGCGGCCGAGGCGTGCTCGGGCGTACGCACGAAGAGCGGGACGGTGGGCGCGTCGCCGCCGGCTTTCTGGGTGTGCGGAATGATCACCTCCTCAATCTTGGGGCTCCAGAAGGAGGCCGCCTGCAGGTACACGCGCTTCTGGCGGGCGAAGGCTTCCTTCTTGATGTCGTCCTTGCTGGGGTCGACGTAGGGGAAGCGCGAGATCCGGTAGACCACCGCGGCACGGCGGAGGAGATCCGAGGCCAATTGGGTGTTGTTGCTGGTCAGCGCCTCGCTGGCTTGCTTCTCGAGGGACTCGGCGATGGGGAAGAAGGCCTGCGTGTAGGCGTCTTCGTAGGCGTCGTTGATGTTTTCCTGGGTGGGCTTGGCTGAGCAGGCAGAATTGGTACACAGGGAGGAAGCCTCCTACCTTGATCAACTTCTCGAAGATGGGTGCGAAGTCCTCAATCGATCCGTCATGGAACGGGTAAACTGACTTCTCACACTGTTGAACGCTTCTTCTTAGTTCTTGATCGTAACCACACAGCATTCATCTTTATCATACCGCAAACTTCCACTTGGTCTCCCAAAGGGCCTTGATGGACCCCTTATGCGGGTAGACCGTGTTGAACTTCTCGCCCATCAGCCATGGAGCCATTTTTGCGTTCTGTTTCGTGATGTGCTTGTGAATCTAAACAGAAGAAGAAAATGGTTGAGATCGAGATATCTCTCGGATAGAGTCTAGCAGTCGAGCGGGCTTTTAAGGCAGATAGTAAACCTGAAAGAGCCGTATGCATGGCCACGACAGCAAAGTTAACGCACAGGAGATATGCAACTCTTGATGCCTGAAGTTAGGAATGCGCAGGCGAAAAAAAGAAAAAGGTGGTCGCGAATCGAAAGCAGGGGATACATTAGTGTTGGGAGTTTGGATTGGAGAGCATTGGACCCTTGTAGCCCGAGGGTTCTTAATGTATAAATGCTGAGGAATTTGAGGTGAGATTGTTTTGCTATGAGGCATTTTCTAGCGCCACGGGATATCGATCAAGAGCGCTCTCATTTTGGGATGTCACCATGAGACACAGAAGTCATATCCATAGAGCCTTTGTTGTGAGGTGGATGGATGAGATGGTGGGAGAGAGACAGAAGCGAGCCCCTCCAAGTCCTTACCGCTCACAGTAGTCCGTAAATGCCCATGCCGCTTGCTGAAGCTTTGGAGCAGCGTAAAAAACAGCATCCTGCATCGCATACCCCGCTATTAGGACAATGAACTCATCCTGTGGGAGATCACACCACAAGGTGCATTCTCTTTGTTCGGGAGTAGTGGCTGGTGCCATGTTGCATCTCCCGTGCATAATTGAGGCAGCTAGTAGCCAGCAGGAGGGAGTATATCTTGATTCATGGCTACGGAGGGGCTGCGTGCATCTTCCGCCGTATCAGAGCCTTTCATGAACCCCACCTTGGCCGGTCGATGGGTTTTGGGTTCTTTGTACAACGCATTCCAATATTTTGGCGTCAAGAGTGAGGATGGTTGGAAAGTTATCGATGCCGAGACGAGGCAAGGGGGAGAGAGCAGAGCGGCGGGGTAGTTGGTTGTTGTTGTTGTTGTTGTCTTTCGGCGCCTGAGGCAGACAAGATGGCCAAGGTTCGATGCTTCCGACTTCGGATGGGATTCAGCACTTGTTGTGGGGATGAAGAACTTCAAAGATCGTGGGAGCTGGGTATTCCGAGGCCACTACACTCATACTTTCCATCGAACCTTCTCCGATTTGCAAGGAGGTGGCAATTGCAAGGATGAATCTCGATCGAGACCAGGAAATCCCGATCGTGGGGTGTGGTGATGTTTGGGACCGGATGTTCCGACGTGAGGTGGGCCTTGCACGCACACGTGCTGCCAAGGAGATTAGGACGAAACCCGACATTGAAAGAAATCGTATATACGGCATTGATAACTATAGAAACACTATTCACATAACTTCATCATATTTACAAGGCTCGAGTATTTCACAGAGCAGATTTCTCCCACACGATCTCCTTCCCATTCAACCCCTCAATTGCGGGGATCTGCGCACGCAAAGCATTGCCGTAGTCACCGGCGTTCGGCGTCCGCATCAGGGTGTGGATGTGGAACTTCTTGGGCTCCTCATTGTTGAGGAACACGCCAGAGTGGTGGTCGAACTCGACCAGGATGACCGGGCTCTGCAAGCGGTAGTAGAAAGGGTCCTCGTTGCCATAGGATCCAATCCAGCAAAAGTAGGTCTCGGACTCGAACTGGCGGATGTGATCCAGCTTCAGCTGGCGGGCGCGGGCAGGCAGGTAGAGCAGGTACTGCTCGAAGATCCCGTACATGAACTTCTTCTGCTCTTCGTTGAATGTGCTGGCGGGGATACCCTCGTTGGGCACGACGCGGTTGTCCCGGTACGCACCGCAGACATGGCGCTGGTCGTCGCGGTTCCAGCGGCCGGGCGGCATCGCCGGGTCGTGCATCTCGGCGTAGACACGCGCCTTCTGCTGGAGCTCGGGGGACAGGGACTGCATGAGACGCAGACCTAGTTCCTCCTCCACCTGCATGATGCGAGTGCCGGCGTACGGGCCGGAGTCGATCTCGTTGGGCTCGGCGCCCGTGAACCACGGGGAGGCGACGATCTGACCCTTGTAGAGGAAGATGTTCAGGCAGAGGTGGTGGCCGTAGAAGGACCAGCCCCACGGTCGGTCGGTCGAGGGACGACCGAAGAGGACAAAGTTATAGGAGAATTCGTTCATGACCTTGACACCGTCGACCAGCTCGCCCAGGAAATGGTTGATGCGCATTGCCGCGATGGCCTTCTCGTAGCCTTCGGGAGATAGTGTGACCTTGAGGACGTTCAAGACGGCGTCGCGGAGCTTGCTGTCGATCTCATCAAGCCGAATTCCCTTGTTGCTGAGGAGGAATTCGGGGTTGGACCAGGTCCGCCACTCGGGGGAGTCGATGTGGTAGCACAGAGCTTTGCGCTGGTTTTCGTCGGCCAGGGACAGCACATTTTGAGTGGCTTCGACGATTGTGTCAATTGGGATGCCTTCGTCTTGGAGTTTGAACAGGTCGGGGCGAACGGTTCCTAAGGCAGCGATTAGCAAGCGAAATGGACCATTACTTCCATCGGAAGTTCCATCGGAAGTAAATTACCGTCGGTGGTTACACCCTTGAAGGGCTCTTGCAGCAGGTCCAGCCAGTGCATGTAGAGCGCGTGCAGCCATGGAGGCTGACGTTGCGTCTTGAACTCGTGTGCATATTCATGGGCATCCTGTGTACGCATCACCTGGAAGCGCTTCAGACTGAGATCGGGCAAGTATTGACGGTATTCGCCCGTAGGCTTCTGCAATTCGGCCTCGGAGTGAGTCATTGTGGCAGTGTTATGGCGGATGTGATGCGATTGTGATGGGGGAAGGAAAGAGAGACAGGAGGGAAGGGGAGTTTCGAGAGGAGAAGGAGGAAAAGTAATAGTATTTAGCTTGGGATGCGAGGCAGAGGCGAATGAATTTATTTATCCTTATCGGTTGGGGAAAGTTGTACCAGGTATGGGGTACGGATTCATCTTTCCGCCACTTCGTTTCCTTTCCCCATACTAGGCCTCCCCACTTTTCCCACAGCACCTCCCCACCATCCACCGTGGGCTCGGGCTAAATCTTATCCGCCCACACCCAACACCCAGACATTCAGAAATGGCTTATTGGTAATACGCAGTTCTCTAGAATCTGACCCGACGGAACCAACAGCTGACTATGGCAATTCGGTTCTTGGGGGTTGCCTGCTGGTTCTTCGCCTTCCAAGCCACCGCCTGGCAAATCTTTAATCCCCCCGTGGGGTCGAACATCCTTCGACCCCGTCATTCGGCCTTAAATCGGCCTAGCGGGGTTGCTTCGCAGCTCTGGTAGTACGTATCATCGTAGCAGCTTCAGCCAGATTATACATCATTTGCTCGATTTCACATCGAAATACCAGTATTCAAAGGGTATCCAACCGTTGGTGTAATACAGCACTCTGGCAACGACGCCAACAATCTCGTCAGTCATGGCTCGAGGTCACATTGCCCACATACACAATTCATAAGATACATTAAATCTACAACAACCGCAGGAGTTCCAAGTCCTTGGCTACAGCCGGACTATGAGGTGCGCAGCTCTCCAGGAACCGCAGCATTTCTTGGTTCCATTGCTCCCAGCCCGGGGGTAAGGTATCTCGCACGCGGGATTCTGGTGAATGGGATATACAGTAAAAGAGGAGTATTTGGCCGAAAAATCTAGGAGACGGTCAGTCACCGCGGCATGGAAAGGGGGAGCAGATTTGATGCTTGCGAGACTTACTGAGAGCAAAATGCGAATCGGATCGGAATGCAGCTCTTCATCCGGCGGAAGATGCCGCCAACAACAGGCCAGTTCATGGCGTTCAGCAGTCCGCTGCGGATTTGTTCGAGATCATGATCCGTTAATAAACTGGGTATATGGAGGGCTTTGTAGAGGTAGGGCCGACCGATGTGGAATTTGGCAATCATGTAGCGACCACGAAGCATAGCTTCGGAGACGGCAATCGCGGGAGAAAGGGCATGACGGGTCGGGTCGAACGGTAAGTGAGCTTCAGTGGCTGGAGAATCGGCTGTATCGTGGTCTGTAGAAGGGTTGGGTGGATTATCGGAGAACTGCAGGGCAGCAGGTAGGTTGACCCGCCACTGATCTAGCTGGTGGTGCAACTCTGTATTGATGGCTGGACGGGGGAATGTCCCTGAGTCGGCTGTAAGAGGGCTAATGTCAGTCCTGACTCGACGAGCGTAAAGAAGAAGAAGCGATCGACTCACAGTAGAAATACAATGAGTTTCGGATGCGTGTTAGTATTATACGGTGGGCGACCTGCGCAAGAAAATGGTATTGGAAAAATGAATCGTCTATCTCGTCCAAGGACATGGTTCGAGATGTGCCGAAGCCAACGCTTTCGAAGCTGATAAACTTGGGAATTGGGACAAGCTCTTCAAGGCGTGCAAGACCGCTCGGTGGGACATGTAGTTCTTGAATAAGGATTGTCTCATTCATGAGACAATTCCAGTATACTCTCGACTTCATGTCGCCTTCCCACTCGTCGAAGTGAACGTCACGGCTAAGGACGTCAGTCACCTAATCACCATGAGCAGGATAACAGGATAATCACATACTTAGTGAGCATGGAAAGACAGCAGGTAGCAGCACGATGGATCATAGCCCAAGAGTCTAAGGGCCGCAGGATCTGACTGTAGTAGACACTGCAAACGCGCGTCAGAATCCGAGGATCAATCTTATAGACTCGTGGAGTGATCGTACAATGAAAGTAGATAAAATTGGCAGCTTTGCAGATCATTGCCACACATCAAGAAGCCCATGCGTTGGCGAGCCTCGTTGAAGAAGCGTAAGCCAGGAGGTTCTTCATAGACGACTCCCATCCACTCGGGCGGCTCAAACCGACTAGTCCTGCTCCCTGGTAAAGGATAATTTCCCTCTTGGTAAGCGTGAATTGCAATACAGCCTAGGGCCATGATGTTCAGGGCGAGACAGCTTTCGATCGTATATCCGAAATTGTTTTCGATCGCAGTCCCCAGTGTCGAGGCGAAGTAAAAGTTCTTATCAATGATAGGCGTGTAAAGGTTAAACGTGGTGAAGAATGCGTCTGAAAGCCCCTTGATCATGGCCAATGGGAGTGTCTCCAGCCAGTTGTTTCCAGCGTGCGGAGGAAAGGGGCAAATGTACATCGGCAGCATAGGCCTTTTCATTTCGATGTCAATCACGTAGTTCTTTCCGAGCTTCTCATAGGCCTCGAGAAGTCGATTTGGGAGGATGTTTTGAGCTCCAAGCCAAGAGATCACCCCATGCTGGCTGAAAGAGACTGAAACGAGGCCAGTCGAATCCACTGGGCCTGAGGGGAGATAGCTTTGGCTATCATGTTCTAGATCGTTATTGAGTTCCACTGTTCTCGGTGTGAGGCCTTGCAATTGAGACCTCTCTGAGCCCACCGGCTCTTTGGAGTTGAGGTTACGCCGTGTTAGAGGTGAGACACCTGGCGACGTATCTAATGCATGAATCATTTCATTTCGAAGAGATTGAATGTCACCGGATATGGCAGTGGGAACACTTTCGAGTTTTGTCTCGAGTCGATGGAGAGTGCTCATAATCAGACTCAAAGAATGATCCCGCCTATGATGAGTTAGTCTGACAAGTCTATCATTAGTATGTGCCTCGTTGTCCCTTACTTGGAAGTCTTGCGCTCATTATAGACACATTCCAAGCCAAGCGACTTGCATAGTCCACATTTTGGCCGTGATTCATCACATCTGGTCTTTTTCAATCTGCAATTCTCACAAGCCTATGGCTAGATGTTATTCCAATTCATTTTACACCAGAGTTCCTGAAGGTTGTGGTAGAGCGATGTGGAAAGAGTAACCTACCACTGTGGCTATGAAATTCCGGGGTTTCTTCGCCGAGCCCGAGGCCCTGCTGTGCTCCGGGCTGTCATGAGAGAGGTGATCGGGAAGCTCTGGAGTCTGAGAGTCACTGTGGGATAATGACCCTGAGTAGGGACGTTTGTTCATGGTACTGAATCAAGAACAGTTTGGGTATCACGACATTGTTGCTTGAGTGCACTAAATGGTTCTGCGATCCGGATAAGTCGATAGATAGGCGGCTTCATGTGACTCGAAAATGCTCGGTCTGAAACACGTGACAGAATGAAGGGGACGGATATGTTTGCGCTGTTTGCTGCTTGCAGCTGCGATAAGCGGGCCTACCGGCACGTGCACTCGACGGATCGTGCGCTCGCACCGGAGTTTGCGGAGCTAAGTATGGACGGTGCATTTACCCCACGGCACTTCGACCTTGGCATCCTGTGTTACTCCGCACTTTTCAAGCAGTTTACGCAGTGCGGCAACCAGAGTGCAGTCCTGCCACTAGATATGATGCATTGGTCGTTCCGTGGAACTTGTGGACAATCTTTATGTATTCAAAACGATACCTCTCTCATCGGCGAGCGGAGCCATTTCTCACATTTTGTCTGTGGCTCAATAGATCCAGGAGCACTACAAGCCTTTCCGACAGGTTCTTGAACAATCACGTTGTAGAGATGAGATGGCCAACAAGTCGAAGCATTTGAGCATCACTAACTCAGAACTGATGTTTCTCCAGCGAACATGACAGCTTCTATTGAGTCACAGTTCTCTTGCAGAAAAGGGATCAAGGGTTACAGACAGTGTCGTCGGCAGCGCAATGTGGAGAGCATGTTCGGGATGTGGACATAAACGGCAGAACTCAGGAATAGCTTCTAACTCCATTGATATATCATGTTCAAATGCTCGGAAACTCGATATGATACACAATAACATTGCAATTGAGTCAAAATGGCCTCCTCCAATTATAGCGATCATTTCTCTATCAAGAACCTTCCATATGGCGTCGCCTCGTCTCCCGCGCGAGCTGGCCCGCAATGCGTGACTCGGCTCAACAACACCGTGATCTTCCTAGATGACCTCCAAAGAAACGGGCTATTCAACTCGGTCATCGAGCTTCCTTCTGGAATCTTCAAATCATCCACCTTGAATGACTTTGCTGCCCTCCCCAAGCCAATCCACACGCGAGTCCGTCACGCCCTGCAACTGGTGCTACAGAATGGAGTGGAAGAACTCCCCACAGGAAGCACTGCAGACATCAGCGAGGTCCAAATGCATCTTCCCGTCACGATTCCAGCTTATACCGGTCAATAGCCTCACTCTGAAGTACCCATCATAAAATAAAGCTAACGACAACTTCCGCAGACTTCTGCAGCAGCAAGGCCCACAACATCAATGCCGGACGAGCTATCCTCGGCCACGAGAGCCTGCCGCCATGCTTCTACCATATCCCCATTGCCTACAACGGCCGTGCCAGCACGATCTCCGTCTCTGGGACCCCAGTCCACCGGCCCCGGGGCCACTTCATCGACAGGACCATAACGACCCACAAAGAAGTCATCTACGCGCCAACACGCGCCTTGGACTACGAACTCGAATTGGGCATTGTGATCGGTGCCCCTCTGCAGTTGGGCAAGGGGCTTACTGCCAAGGATGCCGAGGCACACATCTTCGGGCTTGTGCTCTTGAATGACTGGAGTGGTACGTTGACTATGCAGTCTCTGTGAAGTCTTTGAAGATTGGTTTTCCTTCCATTGCATTTTTTACCTTGCATCTAGCATAATGTCCAGACAGTGAGTACTTGGCTGAACAAGCGCTACAGCACGCGACATCCAGGGCTTCGAAATGATCCCCCTCGGCCCACTGAACGGGAAGAACTTTGCCTCAACTATCTCACCCTGGATCGTCACCTTGGCGGCGCTGGAGGCGTTCCGCACCGACGGCCCAGAGCCGCAGAGCGCAGCCATCCCGCCGTACCTGCAGGACTCGGGCGCCTATAATTATGACATCCAGCTGAAGGTCGAGTTGGAGACTGCTTCTGGGGCGAGGACAGTCCTGGGAGAGACCAATGCGAAGGAGCTGTACTGGAGTCTCGGGCAGATGTGCGCGCATCTGACGAGCACGGGGTGTAATCTGCATACCGGGGAGATTCTGGGCACTGGGACGGTTAGTGGGGCTGCTGAGGGGTCCTATGGCTGTCTGCTGGAGGTGACCAAGGGAGGCAAGGCGAAGGCCAAGTTGACCGACGATAGTGAGCGGACATACCTGGTCGATGGGGATGTGGTGACGATGACGGCCTTGGCGGGCGAAGGAGTTGGATTTGGCGAGTGCACGGGGCAGATTCTTCCTGCTAAGGAAGTTCAGGCTTAGATTAGTGCTACTGTACAGAAGCCAACTAGGTGATCCTCGTTCCAGACATTAGATCCACCAAATCGAGATGCATGCGACGCAAGCACATCATACTCCTTTGATATAACTATCTGGGGGAGAACCCCCAGACCCCCCTTTCTTTTCAGCTCCCCAGTACCCTCAACCCCAATTCCAATGACATAGCACAACCACCATCTACCTTAGGTATCCACCTTAATCCTCCCACAAAGCACCACATCCTCCCCAAAAGGATACCACTTGACCTCTGTCAACCGCGACGCCGGCACAGCCAACCCACCCTCCCCCACCCTCCTTGGCGGACTCACCACCACCCCGCCCCTTCCCAACCACGTCGGCGCAATCGTCACAATCACCGAACTGACCAGATCCTGATACCTCGGCTCCAGCAACGAATTAATCACCGCCGCCCCGCCCTCAATCATAACACTGCGCACCCCTTCCTCCCGCCGCAAATACTCTAGCACCTGCCTCCAATCGAACTCCCTCCTACCTCTTCCAACCTTTTCCTCTTCCTCCTCATTATTCCCCCCCAAACCCCCCGGGGTACTCACCCCCCAAGGGACAGAAACAAACCTCCCTCCCACTTCCTCCAACACCCCCCGCTGCTCCGCCTCCACCTCCGTCCCCTCCGCAATCAGCACCCACGGCGCCCGCCCCTGCCCCTGCCGCACCATCTCCACGATCTTAGCTTGCGGGGTGATCCGCCAGCGCGCCGAGGGGTCCACGATGATGGGACGCGGCTGGCCGTCCAGTCCGTCGGCGCCGTACCCGCCCACGCCGGCGAGCCGGCAGTTCAGGCCCGGGTCGTCGGCGACGGCCGTGCCGACCCCGATCAGGATGGCGTCGTGGCGCGAGCGCAGGTAGTGCGTCATCGCCTTGGATTGCGGGCCCGAGAGCACGGTGCGCGTGCCCGGCGACAGGGCGAGGGAGGAGTCGAGCGAGGTGGCGAAGGTGAGGGTTGTGAATGGGAGGGTCGGTGAGGCGTTGTGGGTTGCTGAGGGGAATGGTGGGGGGAGGTGTGGTTCGAGGAACTCGCGGTCGGAGGGGGGGAAGGTTAGGGCATCGCGGGGGGGGTCGGTCATGGTTTAGTGAAATGTTTGTTTGGGTGGCCGCGTTGGGGTTGGGAGATTGGTGTATTAAAAATTGTGGGGTTGGTGTGTTGGATTCTTAAGAGTTGTTGATGATATCTTTGAGGTGTGAGGGAAGTGTGTTTATGCTGGATGGGTTGTTTGCGGGGAAAGGTAGCGATGAAAATTTATGGAGCCTTAGGCCAGCAACGAGGCATCAACTGTTAGTGCTGTTGTTACCCCACTGTGGGCGGGAGATAATTGATTTTACCCCTCACCGGTAGCCGTTTGAGGGGGCCTGGGGGGTCCCTTGGCGAACACCTTGAAGTTTTGTCAGAGCTTGCATCTCCTCATAGAACCTAGACATCTCGAGGCTCGAAGTCTGAAAGTCGGAATTTTGATTATTGCATCTAAAATCATGAGAGGAGTATCTAGGCTAACAATGCTATCTAAGAAATGAAAACAAATGCGATCGTGATCCGTGAAGATGTAAAGAATCTAGTTGACAACCACAATATGCACAACCACTTGCTTAGGCGGGAATACCACCGGTACCGAACAGCTCCATCTTGATGCGATCATCAGCGACGCCCGCGGCGGTCAGCTTCTGCTTCACGTCCAGCATGAACGCAGTCGGACCGCAGATGTAGTACTTGGTGGTCGCATCGTCCAGGTAGAGGTCCTTCTGCTTGTCCAGCTGGTTCACGTCCAGCCGTCCCGCGACATCGTAGTCCTCGCCCTGCTTCTCCTCGGCGCCGGGAAGGCTGGTGAAGAAGATAGCGTGCAGGTTGGGCACCTTGGCAGCCAGCTCCTTGATCTGCGGGCGGAAGGCGCGGGCCGCAGAGGTGCGAGCGCCGTGCGCGTAGGTGATCTTGCGCTGAGTCTGGGCCTCGGGGCCGTCGAGGATGGTGTTAAGGATGGAGGTGAGCGGGGTCAGACCGACACCGGCGGCCAGGAGGACAATCGGGCTGCTGCTCTGCTTCTCCTCGTCGGAGAGGAAGAAATCACCGAAGGGGTGAGAGACGCGGACGATGTCGCCCTCCTTCTTGAGATCGTGCAGGACGTTGGAGACGTAGCCAGGGTGGCGCTTGGCCGAGGGCTCGGTGGGCTCGAGGCCGGCCTCCTTCTTGACGCTGATGCGGTAGTATTCCGGCACGGGCTTGTCGCTGAGCGAATACTGGCGGCTCTGGGGGTAGTTGAGCTCCGAAACGAAGACCTCCACGGAGATGTACTGTCCGGGGCGGAAGGACGGCAGAGGCTTGCCATCCACAGGCTCCAGGTAGAACGAAGTGATCTCAGACGACTCGGGCACCTTCTTGGCAATGCGGAACTCGCGGAAATCGGTCCAGCCGTCTGCCTCCTTGTAGAGGTCGGCCTCGCGATTGATCATGATGTCGGCCAACTGCCAGTAGGCGGCACCCCAGGCGTCGTGGATCTGGGGCGTCAGGGCGTCTCCAAGGACTTCGCCCATGGCCTCGAGGAGGTACTTGCCGACGATCTTGTAGTGCTCGGGCCGGATATAGAGGGAGGCGTGCTTGTGGCAGATCAATTCGACCGCGGGGCTCAAAGCACCCAGGTTGTCGATGTTGGAGGCATAGGCGAAGAGGGCGCCAGCGAGAGCGACGGGCTGGTGGCCATTGACCTGGTTGGCAGTGTTGAAGACGGTGTTGAGCTCGGGGTGTGCAGCGAGCATATTCTTGTAGAACACGGTCGTGATGGTCTTGCCATGAATCTGCAAGACAGGCACAGTGGCCTTGATGATGGCAATTTGCTCTTGCGTGAGACCCATGATGTAATGATATCAATATGGCAGGGATGTTCTGATTGATGCAATGTCAATGTGGAAATGTATGTCTTGGAGAATGCAAGGGAGAGAACAATCTCATCAGAGAGTCCACGGGTGTATTTATATGCTAATGGGCAACCAATTGGCCCGGGAGGTCAACGCAAGTGGATATGCATGATGTGGCGGACGAACTTTTTTCATGCGGTTTTTTGAATCGGGCGGAAGAAAACTGACATCTCCGCGGAGAAGCTGGGGAAGAACTGAGTTGGTACAGTTGGTACCTCGCCAACCAGCCCAAATCGAATCAGGTTCCTGACAATGTTAAGCGGAACGGTCCATTCTCGGTCCTGGTGTCTATGGAATGGGTTGGCTCGCTGGATTGGCCCTTGAATGCGCGGCTTGCAGTCTATAGTCGGGATACATTATAGTAGCTAAGACTTTTGCTGCAATGGCCGTTCGTAATGACTCTCCGTCCTAAGACCATATTCCACACTGGGATGTATACAGAGATTAAACACGAAGTCATCAGCGAGGATATGGGACGACCAACCAACAGTCACGAGGCAATAAATTATTATACGAAAAGGATCAGCCCATGTCCGACCGGGAGTTTTAGGGGATTCTGGCGGAGGCCGAGTCTCGGCCGTTGTATGATTAGAGTATGGTTTACCGCAGTCCAGGAACCATGGGTACAAATTGGCATGGTGCGGGTGTTTTGAGTCAGTGGGACTTGGAAAACTTCATCGCGAGGGACGCCATAACTAATACTATGTGCTAACGGTAGGTTCTAGAGCCAGCAAGAAAATCAAGAGACGGAAGAACGGCTCCTGCGGGAATTGCGGAACACGCGGCCGCCCTATCAGAGACTTCCCGACCGTGCTGACCTGGTGTGCACTCATTAGTCAGAAACAGCATCAAATTGCATAATACTTCAAGGCACATGAGAACTGAATTAAACTAATGACTTTACTTAATAAGCTATGTCGTGTCTTCTCACGTGATATGGTGCCTCGCCTGCCTGAAGTGACGGTGACATTAGCCTACCGAAGCTAACCGAATGCGGAATCCCCCGCTGGCTGCCCAGTGCAGTGGCCGGCTGGCACTGTAACATCATCCATCATACAGTGACCTCATCCTCAATGTCGGCATGCGGCTATCTTAGTCAGGATCCTCGCTGATGCTGCTGATACTGACGCTGAACCGCCGATGATGCTGAAGGAATGCTTTGCTGCATCTCGCAGGGCTGTTGAGAAGCCGGTCATCAACACATCAGCACATCAGCTGCCCTTGTGCTGGATTGCGCTCCACTCGAGCCCTCCAGTGCATAGAGTCATATTCGTGGCAACACTCCTCACTATGACTCGGTATCAGTAAAAGAAAGATAACTCTAATTTGCCGATGTCACCTCTCGGTCTACTACGTGACGTTTCGGGTGTTCCTTTCCGGTTCCATGCCCCTCCACGCTTTCTCCAAAGGCATTGTCTGCTGGATGTCACCGTCCTGCTCGAGTTGTCTTTTCCAGGGTTGCCTCGCTCGCCTGTAACTCTGGAACTATTTACCATGCACGTCGTCCTGCTCGTCGCTGTCGTCTTTTCCTTTAAACCTTTCCGCAAGACCTGAGTCTGCTCACTTCCGGTTGCCTGATCAGTACTGATTCAAACTTTGAACACGTCCCATCTCATTATCAATATGCCGGGGAAGACTGCACCGCCGCGCCGGATCACCAAATTCACAAATTGCCGGATTGTGAAAGGTAGCGAGCTAGTCAAGGAAGACCTTTGGATTGACTCATTATCCGGGAAGATTCTCAAAGATCAGGAAGCATTCTACGACTTTCATCTCTCCCCGGATGAGGTCATTGATCTCGGCGGGCGCATCGTCGCCCCGGGACTTATCGATGTGCAGCTGAACGGTGCACAGGGCTTTGACTTCTCTGTACCCCAAGCTACCACCGAGGAATATGACAGGGGTCTGCGCATGGTCAATAAGGGCCTTGCCCGGATGGGTGTTACCTCATATCTCCCCACCGTTGTGAGCTCCACGCCAGAGGTTTACTGGAAGGTATGTCTACGCAAAACAATCCCTGGCTTGCAGATATCGGGACTAACCAGTAGTGATCATTGCTCTAGGTTCTACCCTCGTTAGGTCCCACAGGAAGCGATGCCCAGCCTCAAGATGGCGCCGAGTCACTGGGCGCTCACGTGGAAGGGCCGTTCATCAGCCCCGGCCGCAACGGTATACACAATTCCGAGGTGCTTCGTGCAGCGCAGAGCCTAGAAGACATAGTGGAATGTTACGGCTCGAATAATTTGACCGGGTCATCTCAAACGGTCCGAATGATCACTGCGGCGCCTGAAGTTGGCAACATGCTGGACCAAATCCCATCTCTTACCTCGAAGAACATCATCTATTCGATCGGCCACTCAGACGCAACTTACGAGCAAGCCCTCGCCGCTACCCAGAGCGGCGCTACCATGATCACCCACCTGTTCAATGCCATGCGCCCGTTCTATCATCGCAACCCCGGGGTCTTCGGCCTGTTCGGTCAGACCGACCGCCCGCGTCCCTTCTACGGTGTCATCGCTGACGGCATCCACTTGCACCCGAATTCCATCCGCATCGCTTACAACGCTCATCCGACCGGGCTGGTCCTTGTGACGGACGCGATGAGGCTGTGTGGGCTCCCTGACGGAGTCTATGACTGGACCAACGGGGACCGCATCGTGAAGACCGGCGCACGGCTGACCCTGGAGGGTTCAGACAAGATCGCCGGAAGTTCCGCGACCTTGATCGAGTGTGTCAACAATTTCCGTCGGTGGTCAGGAGCCTCGACTGCGGATGCCTTGAACGCCGCTACCGCCACCCCGGCGCGTCTTCTGGGCTTGGAGGGAGTCAAGGGCTCACTGAGCAAAGGTGCGGATGCGGATCTGATCGTCTTGGATGATGAAGAAGATCCTTTTTCCGGCCCGACCTTGACTATTCGTCAGGTGTGGAAGCGGGGTGTGAAGGTATTCGACACTGAACGTGATGCTGGGGTTCTTCCTTCGAAGGCCTAAGGTCTTCCTTTCGAATATTTCTCTTTGTCTAGTTTTGCCTCGTTGAGCGTCGGAATTGGCAGTCAAACCATCAGATCCGGTGACTAGAGCACTAAACTGTGGGGTGTGACGGTAAGCTTAAGCTACTTGCTTCTTGATATACACTTGCTTCTAAGACAGGGGTAATGGCGCATCGTGTTTTGCAGCATAGCCAAGTAGATATTGAATACAAGAATAGAGGTATTCTATTTTCGCTCTAAGTCTTGCCATCTGGAGTATGATTTTCAGGTGTAGCTCTGTAATAGATTCTGATTGGATGCCTATCTTCTCCGGTGAAGTATTTTGTCTGAGGCAGCGAGGCAGCGAGGCAGCTCGGATGGCTTGTGGCTCCGGGTCACTGGAGCTGTCTTGCGACCTCCACAATCCAGTCAAAAAAAACTCCCTCCGACAATATGCTAAATCATATGGAGTTAAGATTTTGCCAGGGCTCGCAAGGCTGCGGTAGTCCACAACAACAAATAGCCCATCAAGAAATAGCCAGACCCGCCTGGCCCGCCGCCCCCAAACACCCAGTCGTCACGTATATACTTCCGCAACGCCAATGTCAGACCGCTCCCTACCCCGTCCTCTTCTCGCATTTTCACAACCACCTCGGCAAAAATGCAGCTTCTCCAACTGCCCACGGAGATCTTACGGGTTATCATCAGCCAAATCGACTCCCGAGCTTCACTCGCTCGCCTGGCGCGGGTATGCCGATTTCTCGAGGCGCTAGTCGACCCATTTCTCTACCAGTCCGTCTACCTGCGCAATCACGACGGTGAAATATTCATTCGCGCAGTCGAGCTCCGCCCAGCCCGAGCGCAGTACATCCGCGAGCTGCTGATCCACTACCACTATGTCAACGTCCCCAACCAGCAGGAGTACTACCCGCTGTTAGTGGAGAGTCTGGTGCCGACGATCTGCCGGCTGGTCAACCTCCGGCGGCTGACAGTCAAAGGGCTTCTCTACGATGCGCCGCAGGACTACGACGATCCGGACCTGGGCAATGTAGAGAGATTCGACGCTTACGCAGCGGAGTGGTTCCGGCTGTTCGAGCATGCTGGTGGCGCGGATGTCCTGCCTTCCTTGGAGTCATGTTGGTTTAGCCCCAATCCCCTTTTTTCCCTGTCCTAAATACATCACATGATGCTGATTTTCCTCACTAAAGGCCAAATGATCATGGACGATGTGCCCTACGACCCAGAGATCCGCACGGAACTGTGGAGCTTCGATACCCGGAGCGCCGTCATGGTTCACCCTCATCTACGGAACCTGACCCTGGTCGGAGCGCTCGTCGGGGGCCTGGATCCCGCCCTGCAGTACGAGCCGCGCTCCACACGGCTGGAGAGTCTAACCCTGCTCTGCTGCGACGTATCCTCGGACGGTTTGCGCGAGCTGCTGCGTGTCCCCGAGGCCTTGAAGCACCTTACCTGGAAAGGTGTCCCGGCGACAGCTCCCCCGGAGTTCTGGCCGGGAGACCGACAGAGCTATGTCGACGCTATCCGCACACATGCAGCCTCGCTGCTCAGTCTGGATTTGGACTTTTATGCGATTGGTGGACATCATCCGCCGTTGGATTTTCGGCATTTCCGCGGTCTGCGGCAGCTGACGATTGACCCGGGGGTGCTAAGAGGAAGAGGTGATAGTACGGATGCGCATGGGAATGCGCGACACTCTACGGAGTGCCTGCTTCCTGGCAGTCTACAGAGGTTGGTTCTTCGGGAGTATAGAGAGTACAGCGTGCCAGACCAAGAAACCCTGCCGCTCGTCTATCGCTGGGTGTCATCGGGGGCGCTGCCCAGTCTGCGGAGCGTCACGGTTCAATCGGCCAAGTTTTCTCGAAGCGAGATCTTGCATCGTGCCCTGAATGCGAAGATGTGTTTCGATGACGCTTTTCAGTCGGTGGGCGTGCAGCTAGAGTATGAGAAGGTCCGGTCCAGCCTGGCAGAAGAACAGTTTGGGTTTGACTGCCATTGTTGCACGTACGCCTTGCGATGGAATAATGGGCTGGATTATTGAGGTGGTGTTGCACCAGAGGGACATTATGAATCTCCACTGCTGGATATACACAGAAATATCATCGCAGTCCAGTTGTCAAGTGTAGCAGGTTATGCCTGGATGTGTAGCAATCGATAGCACAATAGATCAGTCCTATCACTACAGGCCTACAAGAAGCCAACATGCCTTCTTCAGGCTACAAGCCCAGCAGTTATACTACTTGGTGTACTTTCCTCACTTCGATAACTAAGGTACCTAGGCAGTGTCCCCTCTCGCCCCCTTTCCTCTCCCCAACGCAACAAGAATTCACCAGCCCACCACCTCTCTACCTCCAGCCTTCAAAACTAATTCCCCGTCATAACCCCCCAATCCCCCTCCGTCCACACCAACCGCATCCTCCACCGCTTAATCCTCCACACCCCGCTCCCACCCCCATCCCCATTTACCCCCGCAAAGTCCCTCGCCACATCAACCGAATAAAGTGCCCCGCTCGTCAACCGGGTAGTATCAGGCTGATTCCCCTGACCCGCCCGGAAATGCTGTGCCAACGCCGAGGCGGTCACGGTCGCCGTCACACTATCCTCTGAAGAGAGGTTGATGCGCACATTACTCAAAAAGTGAGTGGTGTCCAGCGGGGCAACGGGGTCCCAGCTGCCGGCCTTGATGGCCGCGCGGCCCTCCATCACGCGGCCGTTGAAGTCGAAGACGGCGTCCTCGAAGAAGGCGGACTCGAATAGAGAGAGGTTATTGTCGTCGTAGGAGAGGACGGCGCGGTAGAGCGGGTCTACGATCGCCTCGCGGAGGGGGAGGGCGGGGAGGGCGGTTGGGGTGAAGGACATGGTTTTGGCGGGGTTGGTAGGTAGGTTTGTAGATTAGGAATTGAGTATTGAGTGGTTCTGTGGCTCTTTCCCAACTTTGTTCTTAGAGGGATTTCTTTGACTTGTTTGGGCTATGGAAAGGCAGGGGGAGGTACTGTAGCGACTGTGGTTGTGGAAGGGGGTTATATACTACTAACCTAGTATACCAATCTTTCGAGTTTTCTAACGGGACCACCGACGGAGATTCAGACATCTGATGAGACCGGCCGTAAGACACAATCTCGCTAACAAGGCCGGAGACCGAAAGGGAAGACCGAGTCTCTTACTGGGTTGTTCGGTCGAGAGGGTAAAATCCGCGACTGATCTCCGTAGCCCTAACCGTGGGGGACGGGCTGTAGTGCCGATCAACGTATGACATGCTGAGGAGATTCTCATCGTCACCTGGAATGAGATGATCACGACGGGGTAATAGACTGGGAAGAGAATCTATGCATCGTGTTTGAGAGGCATAAGCCCTGCAGTGGCGCTTGGGAATTGCTTGTCTCTTCTTGGCTCTCCCCTCCCGTCCCGTGCCATGCCGATCCCGGCCCAGTGGTCTCACAGCATGGCGCCCTCAGCTTCACCCATTCTCGGATCCTATCTACACGGTCTGAACGGGTGTGTGACGGTATACATCGCTCCGTGGAGCCAGCGGGGATAACCCAATTGAAGGCAGCCAGTTCATCCAGGAAGAGGGGCCTCGTTTACATCGAGGCCATCGCAGCAGCCAACGCCCTTTGGCTGGGCCATAGAAAAAGTCAATCGGCGCAAAGCGACGAACTGGCGCTTTGACTTTAAAGAGAAGAGGAGGGAGTCGCTGATCCCAACCAATCTACAACAGTTTACAGCGCTGAACCTGCCGCAATTGCACTTCTTCAGTTCATCTCATATGGGCCCTTTTACCCGGATTCGTATGCCACCACGGAGTATCTCGCCCAGTGCTGGTCACGGATGTTTCGAACGGAATTATTGGTTGATCTCGGGAACATCGAGAGCAAAATGATGAAATCCTCAGATGGGGCTCTGCATGAAGCGGTGGTGACTCTTCGCGAGAGCGATCCCCCTCCGCTGTTGGCTCATGTCGTCTTTGTCCCGAACCATACCGTCACTGACTCGGAGGCTTTCCTCGGACACTCTCTTGCAGCATCTATCGGTCGCGGAGTACAAATTTTCTATCATCGCCAATTCCCTCGACTACACTCCGTCACTACTAGCCATTCAAGCTTGACCGGAAGGCCCTCCAAAGCATTCCTCCTGCCGCGATGCACCGTGTCCTCCTCCTAGGCATCGAGACAATGCCTCAACTACGTCGCGTATGGGAAGAAGTTCTCTACTGTATCTTAATTGATCTATCTCTCTACATTTACTATAGATCACCAGACTCAGAAAGTCGTATTCTAGTTACTTGCTTCATGGAATAATTACTCCATAAACTCCGTACTCAGTATGCAGTCCTCAACTGGCGGAATATACAAGCCGGGACCCACACCGCGGCGTCATCCGGCCCTCTCGGCCACCACATCTGGCAGCCGAGGTCCCTAGATAAGACTCGCGGCTCATCCCCAACCTCTAAAGCATCAACGAGACACACACACCCCGGCACAAAATTGACCGGCTCACCCAAAAGAAAAAAAAAATGTCACGAATGTCCCCCGCGCTCAAAGCGCTCATAAACTCACCCGCCGCGCGACCCAACACCCTTCCAGCGCCCCGCAACATCCAGTCCGTGTACGCGAAGATCCAACAAGAAGCCCAAGCCAAGGGCATCTCGCAACCCTCATGGCTGGCCTTATCGGTGCGTCTTGCCCCTCTCCCAGCGCCTCCCCGGTACCCCAGACTAACACCCCGGGATAGACAGCAACAACAATGACCATGAACTCCCCGGACTCCCTAACCCTCCTCTACGAACTCGCCACCTCCTCCTCCTCCACCCCCACAGAAACCTCGACCTCGACCTCCCCCACAACCGAACCCTCTTCCCCCCTCGCAACCGCCGAACTCATGCGCGAAGTCGGCCTCAAATGCATCAGCTTCAACGGCATCCCGCGCACGATCAACTGTCTCAACGCCTTCCGCGCCAGCCTGCCGGAGTCCATCACCGCCCAACTCTCCACGACCCCGATCCGCGAACCCACCCCCGCCAACATCTCGGCCATCCGCGCCCGCGGCCGCGCCCTCTGGGACAGCATCTACCGGCCCTTCGAGCAAAAACTCTACGATAAGCTGGCCCGCGCGCACCCGGACCTGCCCGTGCACATCCTGAATATGAACTACGGGGCGTTGCTGGCTGATCCACCCGGCAAAGGAAGGGTCGGGCGGGTGCTCACCTCGCTGGTGGCCGTGGCGTGTCTGCGGGCGCAGACGGGCGTCGGGCCTCAGGTTACCTCGCATGTGTTCGGCCTAAGAAAGGCGGTGGAGGATGGGAGCTGGGCGGATGATGTTGAGACGAAGGCGGGCGCGGAGTGGTTGGCGAGTGAGGCGGGGAATGTGTGGATTCTGGAGAGTGTGGATGCGATTGTGGGCGCGATTGGGGGTGGGGAGGGGAGTTTTGCTCCTGCGGGAGGGAGGAGTGGGAAGTTGTGATTTTTCTTTGGGGGTTGTATATAGGTTATAGGTGGGTTGTTGGGGGTAAATGTTTCATGTACTTATTATGGTTGTATGGGTATAGAGTTGCACTAGATGGGATATATATCTTACTGGTTCGTTCAGTTTCTCAGTCTTCTGCTTGCGTTTCTCGGAGTAGGACTGGTATGGCTATGAGCACTACAACTCGGCAGTAGAGACAACTAGAAGGTTGGTATGATTATCAGAATGAACGGTGACCTTCCCTCTCATGAGTCCGTAGCTCATCCCACCCATCCCGGCCTTTGACGCAGCTGCTGAAGGCTCAGTCAGATATCCATGATACCACTAGTGGGAACTAAGACAGTGGGTCATCCAACACACCAACCATCTGTCAATTGCCGATTCGGCAAGTCATTTACAGTGACCAGCTCTCTCCAGTCCTACTGCCCACGGTATTAGGTCAATTCCTACACAAGGCGTGTACTACATTCTCAATGCTTCTATACTTGGCTTTGTAACATCAAGCAAGTAGCCACAATACATCAACTGGGTCCCATAGCTCAGTTGGTTAGAGCGTAACGCTAATAACGTTAAAGTCGAGGGTTCGAGCCCCTCTGGGACCAGCTTCTTTTTTGCTTTTGATTATATTTTTGCAGGTTGGATAGAGGGGCTTCGGCACTTATCGCTGGGTTTTGATGCTGCATCGTTGAAGGCAGACTACCGGCCAGCTCGTGGCGGAGGGAGGTATCTATGTCATCCTGACTACCCTTCAAGTCCCTACGAGCTGTGTACCGTACAGTAGTTACCTCACTGCGCAGTTCCATCCTACCTCCCGACAATCATCTACACCAACTTAACCCCAAGCCCCAGCGCAACGATGGTCAAAACAGTCTAGTAAAAATAGTAGTCATTCTCATTAATAGTAGCCAACGCTAAATCATCATCGCAGGCAGGGAGAGGAACACGACATCATCAACGTCATCAGCATCAACGTCATCATCACGAAAGCCACCACTTCCAAAAAACCAGCACACCCAACAACACGAAATGTCATTCCGGCTTCTGCCCATACACGATATGGACCTTGGTGTAGAGGTGGTTGCTGGGGTCGCGCAGCTCGTTCTTGATCCCGGCCACGAACACCTCGATCTCGGGCCGCTGCCAGCCCATGACGCGCGTGAACAGCGCGTAGCAGTAAGGGCCCATGGCCTCCAGCATGTTGACCTGGTGGAATTTGCCCAGGTCCTTCATCTTGGGGTCCTTGGCCCAGGGGCCTTGGGGGAGCTTTTTCGGAAGTTGGTTAGTGAAAATGTCTCACTGGGAAAATTAGGATTCCAGAGGGTCAGGGATTATTAACCTTATAAATCTCCTCCCGCACGTTCACGAACCCCGCCTTCTCCATCTTCTCCTTCCACCCGTGCACGCTCTGCATGTCCTTGCCGTACTTCCGCGCCGACTCGTGCATGAACTTGATCCCCTCCAGCAGCGTCGTCGCCCTCTGGTGCGTCCCGTCGTCCGAGTACGTGTTGACCTCCATCGAGGCGATCTCGAAGTACCCGCGCGGCCGCAGGTTCTCGAACGCCTGCGCCATCAGCCGGTCGACGTCGCGGATGCAGCCCTCGAGCTCGCGGCCGTGGATGTAGTCGAACGGTTTGCTGTAGGACCAGGGTTGTTCGAAGTCGTCGATCTCGAAGCGACAGTTGGGGGGGACCCTGTATTTGATGTTAGCACGGGGCGTTCTGATTTTGATGGCTGGGGGGAGCTAAAGATAAAGCTCAGGGGCGAGATACTTACCATGATGGTTGAATAGGACTGAGGTCGTTGCCTGTATCCAGAAAAGAAAAAGCCCCAGTTGGTCAGTCATATCGTTCGTTTGTCTGACGGGAAAAAAAAGCGCGCGGTCATAGAAGACTAGGTGGGTAGCTGGATTTACCGATAACTTCTGATCCCGCGTTCGCACTGCCGGAAGATACACCGTATTAGCCATTTCGTTTCCCAGATCGCCCCTCCTCCACTGCAGCTGCAGCCTAATTTCAAGTCTGTGGTTCTCTCCGCAGAATTGTAGGAATCCGACTTACTCCGCAAAGTCTATTGCCCAGATCCCCGTGCCCGTGCCCAGATCCAAGACGCGAGCCGGGTTTTGGACAGGCGCCCGGTGCAATTCTCCCTTCAGGAGCATGCTATAGATGTGATGGCTCTGTATCCAGTGTCGTCTGATTAACATCCATCATTCGTTGTGCGGATCTCCGCCGCTTCCTTCGGTCTTCTCCGCTGGAGATGTGTGCGTATATGTGAGCGTGGTGTACTAACCAAATCGAGGCGATCTTGCTCTTGTTCGTCATTGGGCTGCAACCTTGATCAGTATGGGAGTTCCGAGGTCCGAGGTTGGATTGCGTCGAGAGCGTTCAGGGCCCTCGCAGCAGAAGGAGTTTATCATACTAAAAGATATTCACCCTCATGGTAGGAATGATATCTGCGACCGTTCTGGGAAGGAAAAGGAACCCAGTTAGCGAAGAGGACGAGGAGATGAGGCGACGAGGAAACCTAGAAGTACCTCATAGCTGGGAAACTTATTAGCTCGGGCTGGAAAGAAGAACTGGATAACCAATGTGTGATTTACTCAAAATACATACGCATAGTTCATAGCACTCGATGCGAGACTGGAAGTATAGCTGGCATCGTCCAGCCTGTTAATAATATTAGCATGGTTCTCGTCAAGGGTTGTAGTGGTAGTGATCCAGCGCGAACCAACGGAACGGGGGACGTCAGTCGTGGGCTGGGAAACTTACGAGTCGGGATAAGTGGAGTCATTGTCATCGAAGTCCTGTCCCGCCAGCACCTGCGGGTTAGCTATCTATCTAGTCGGGGCTTTTTGAGAGGGAAGGGGGAAAGGTTTGTTTGACAGAGTCACTGACATCTGGCTCAATGATACTGTCATCAATCTCATGTGGAGGGGCATTGTCGGCGCTCATATTGAAGAAAAACAAAAAAGGTGAGGTGCGGAATATGTGGCGGTAGTGGTGGTAGTGGTGGTGGTAGTGGGTAAGGCGAGAATTAGAATAAATTGTGGATGATGAATTGATGATTGAGCAATTGAGCAATTGAGCGATGGAGCGGTGGCCAGAAAGTAATTACCACCCCGGCTGAGTTCTTGGTAACTTATCGAATGGCCCCGCTAGTGCAAAGTGAAAATAATCAAGTGTCAAGCAGGGACGTTGAAGAGAGAGGATGGATGGATGTATGTAGTAAAATTCCAGAATAAAAAGGGGGACCCGATGGAACTCTCCTAAATTAGTTAAGCATAAAATAGTAACTAATAGATGGTATGTGGTTAGTGAAAAAGAGGGAAGGACAGAGATAAAAAAGAAAGAAAAAGAAAAAACCAAGAAAAAACAAGAATGAAAATCGAATTTCGGAGTAGTAGGAACTCCGATCTTTAAGCCAGTTTTTGTTGAGAAGCAAGAGTAATGAGAATAGTAATCGGATAGGAGAAGGTCATAAGACACCAACAGAGAAGAAGATCCAAGAAGTAAGAAGCCATGCAATGATACGGAGATACGGAGTAGCAATAACAATAATATAATAATAAGGGGAGGGGGTTATTTCATGGGAATCTCAACAGTCGGGTCGGGCTCAGCTGGCCAGTGATGAGATGCGACAAGAGACTGGGCCGAGGAGGAAAGGAAGTTAGGAAAAAAGCCAGACATGCATGCAGCCAAACCTTGAAAGACTGAAGAAAAGGATACTCAGGCAGGGCCTGTTCCCGTCTGTCTTGGGAGTTCTGAGAGCTTTCATGCGGGATAACCGTTTGAACCCCAGTCAGTCGCCCACCGCAATCCTTCGTCGTTGGCTGGCCCCGGAGGAGGCTTCGTACAGCTAGCTCGAGTACGGAGTACAGTAGCGCCCGACAAGCGGTTCCATACAGAGCTTCCTCACTGCTTCACGATGCAGTGGAGAAGGTGGTGGTGGTGGTGGTGGTGGTGGTGGTGGTGGTGGTGGCGGTCGCTGTCGCTTACGGGATGCGAAAAATGTAGGTCCGTGCCGCACTGCTGCTAGAAGATAGATCGTTGTCTTTAGGTTAAGTTGGACGGAATCTGTCTGGAGGCTTGGACATGCAAAAGTGCAGGGGTGTCGACCAGTTCAGTGGCTAACTATACTTGGTACTCCGAAAAGTCTTGGAGGTCTAGGTTCGAGCGAGAGTTGATGACAGCAGAGAAACGCGGTCGGTCTTGGCCTATCGGCGATAGGCGGATAGAGCTAGGTAGGTTAGGTAAAGAGTGCTGATTACTCCAACCATTGAACCGTATAATTCAACTGTCTTGCAACTTCAACCTTTGTTATGTATGATCGAAGGTTGTCAAAAGTACTCAGTATGAGTACAACATGGCCATTCTCCACATCACCATTCTTCAGCAAGAGAAACGATCGGTGATGGATACACCCATGCGAGCTGTATGCGAGCAAGCCCACGCAGCCAAGCCGAAGACCGAGGTTTTAAATGGGGCAAGTCCTCCGCTGATGATGCAGTGGATTCAGAGGTGGACTCGAGACATGCCGACAGGAAAAGCCATTCGTTACATTCAATTGGTTCAACAGCCCTAGGCGGTGTAACGTACTTTGTTTCTTTCCACAACTGCTTTTTCCACTTCTTGCTACCTACCGCAGTCAGTCGAAATGCAAAGACTCGGGATCAATAGGGAAATGGAAAGCAGCCCAGGCTTCAAAAGTCGAAAGTCCCTGCCATGTGTCACTCTTCTTGTCAGCATGCCGTGGAATCCAAAAGACCCATCCGTGTTGGTTCAGGAGTCCAATGTGCGAATCGGTGTGGATTGTGGAGAACAAACGGGACCCTCCTTCCATCTTTTTCACCTCTCGAGTCTCTCAAGCCAGTAGTCTAAAGCATTTCATTCGAACGGCCCGAATGCATTCATGCACAGTCTCGGCTCTGCTTTTGTCAGCCTATGACCTCGCATAACACATCATCCAGGATGACTTTGCATGGATCAATTGGGTTCTGT